GTGATTGGTTCAGACATGCTCCTTCATGTGTCTGGAGGATGACAGGTGCTGACTGACAGCTTTCCCTCAGAGCCTGCAGGACGAAAAAAACAATAAAAATTAAATTGAATAAGTCGGATAAAATTAGAAATAAGTCCACCTCTCTTCTCCTCGTCCTTTCCCCCTCCTGCCTGCTGATGATAAAGTTAAATAAAAATCTAAGTTTGGTTATGAAGTGAAATTAAATATCTGACTGTGATCTTGATGCAGCGTGGCACTAATTCCTCACTTCACCATCTGTGTCACAGTTTCCCATCTCCAAAATGAGCGTACGCATGGGTCAAAGCTGGCGTGAGGCACTGCACATTTTCACGTCAAGTTTGGATTTTATAAATCACAACCTTGGCGTAAAAAGTGGCGTACGCAAGTTTCTGGGCTCACATTGTGCKTACGCCAGTTTTATAAATCCGACCCCAGGACTTAAAGTATACAACCTGAACTTCAGTGAAGCTGGGACGTTGTGTAAAGCATAAATAAAAACAGAATATAATGACCTGCCTATATTCAGTTTGAMACACTACAAAGACAAGATATTTATTGTTCAAACTGATAAACTTTATTGGGTTTTCTGTAAATATTCCCTCATTTTGAATTTGATACCTGCACCATGTTTACCTCACAAACACAAAGTATATTACAGCTTTCTGTTTTCTGTCTTCTGKAATGACTTTGTCCTCAGAATAACTCGGTGGAGGCGGTCTATAAGAACATCTACAAGCTGGTRCTGCTGCAGGCCTGCAGGTAGACTCACAGCTCGGCTCAGGTTTGAAATGTGGTGTGGTAGAACTGAGCATCATCCTGAAACACGCCAACACACCCCGACACTTCCCGACACATCCGGACACATCCCAACACTTCCCTACACACCCTGACACTTCCTGACACACCCCGACACTTCCCAACACACCCCGACACTTCCCAACACACCCTGACACTTCCCGACACACCCCAACACTTCCCGACACTTCCCGACACATCCGGACACATCCCTGACAAATCCCAACACTTCCCGACACACCTTGACACTTTCCGACACACCTTGACACTTTCCGACACACCCCGACACTTTCCGACACACCCCGACACTTTCCGACACATGCAGCCACTTCCCGACAGATCCCTGACACATCCCGACACTTCCAGACACACCCTGACACTTCCCGATACATCCCGACACATCCCGGAAACATTCCGACACTTCCCGGCACATCCATACACTTCCCGACACATCCGGACACATCCCTGACACNCCTGACACACCCCGACACTTTCCGACACACCCCGACACTTTCCGACACACCCCGACACTTCCCAACACACCCCGACACTTCCCGACACACCCCGACACTTCCCGACACACCCCGACACTTCCCAGCACACGCCGACACTTCGCGACACATGCGGACACTTCCCGACAGATCCCTGACACATCCCGACACTTCCAGACACACCCTGACACTTCCCGATACATCCCGACACATCCCGGAAACATCCCGACACTTCCCGGCACATCCATACACTTCCTGACACATCCGGACACATCCCTGACACATCCCAACACTTCCCTACACACCCTGACACTTCCTGACACACCCCGACACTTCCTAACACACCCCGACACTTCCTGACACACACTGACACTTCCCGACACACCCCTACACTTCCCGACACACCCCGACACTTCCCGACACATGCGGACACTTCCCGACAGATCCCTGACACATCCCGACACTTCCAGACACACCCTGACACTTCCCGATACATCCCGACACATCTCGGAAACATCCCGACACTTCCCGGCACATCCAGACACTTCCCGACACATCTTGACACACCCTGATATATCCTGACACACCCTGATATATCCTGACACACCCTGACACACCCTGATATATCCTGACACACCCTGACACATCCTGACACACCCTGATATATCCTGACACACCCTGACACACCCTGATATATCCTGACACACCCTGATATATCCTGACACACCCTGATATATCCTGACACACCCTGATATATCCTGACACACCCTGATATATCCTGACACACCCTGATATATCCTGACAAATCCTGACACATCCTGACACACCCTGACACACCCTGATATATCCTGACACACCCTGACACATCCTGACACACCCTGACACATCCTGACACACCCTGACACATCCTGATATATCCTGACACACCCTGACACATCCTGACACACCCTGACACATCCTGACACACC